TTCTTCTGTAATTTTTTTTTTTTTTTGCCATTATTGCGAAGAATACTACCAATAGCATCGGCAAAAGTAAGGAATGAGCAACAAAAATGTCACTAGAAACATGATGCCATCATTTTCTTCGGTCATTTTTTTGTTTGAATACCAAGAAACTTACTTAATTATTCACTTTATTTACTTATTTGCCTATTTTATTATGTTTTGTGCTGTGCAGCAACTGCGCGAAATGTGTATTGTCACGGGTTTGTCTGTGTGTGTATTCGTGCGTATGTTTGCGTATATGTTTGTGTGTATGTGTACGTGTGTGTATGTGTGTACGTGTGTGTGTGTGTGTGTGCGATGATCTTAAAGTGCCGGCAGGCATAACGCAGTGGAAATAGTACTGCTATTATGCAATAGATCGAAGGTTCGACTGTGCCTGTGGGAAAACCGATTCCTCTACTATTCGTTTCGATGGTAAATTAGCATTAGTATGTGCCAGGGAGTTAAACTTGCCATCAGCTTGCTTGTAACAGAAATAGAAAAGTATATTAACAGAAAAATCAAAGAAAAATAAGAAAAAATAAGAAAAATCAAAGAGGAAGGTGGGAAATGAGAATTACGAAATTGGTAAAAATAGTAAAATTATAATAAAATTATTGGCAAAGAAATTTTCGGTCCATTAAATCGTATACATTTCTTACCATTTACCACAGTTGGACCTCGTCAGTACGACGATTGTGGGGTAACTGTAGTTGGCGTAAATTGAATTTAAATTAGTTGTATGAAGCATGTTAATAAAAGTGAAAACTATGCAACCCTCAGAAAAGGGAGCCATCAACATCCTAGCCAGCGAGTGGTTTCTGTTGGATTTTGCTGCCACTTGGACTACTTCCTTTGTGACTCCGTCTTTCACTGAGTGCAAAATACGGAGGGGATTTTTGTCTCTGACATTTGGTATACTAATTCGGAGCCAAAATGGAGTGGAGGTGATAAGAACATAAAGCTTAGAGGACTAAAAGAGCTTAAGAAGCAAAAAAAAGAAAAATGAGATAAGACGTTTCGGTCCGTTCACGCCACAGCTTGGCTTCGCATCTGGATTTCGTCAGTACGACGGAGTTGTGATGCAAATTCAAGAAGCATTTATGGAGAATTCAGGCCTCTTTTTGCGCATAGCAGCACAGCTGGTACCCTTCAAATTTTAGGTCATTCAATTGTATTCGATTTGATGGAATGGGCGCGTTCATGCCTCGCGCATACGCCATACGTTGATGAAATCACAAATTTGCTTCGAGCCGACAAAATTCAGCTGCTCGACAAAAGCCATTTCTGGAAACAGGTCATTTTTTTATATTTCAGATATTTCGCTGACATTTTCATACCTCTAAATTTGATTTTAAAATTGCCCGATTTTACTGAAACTTTGCTAAACGTTAGGCCAGTACTGTACGGATTCATTATCTGGATCTCCAACTATACTGCTGGAGGCTTTTGCACTTGTTTTAGCGCATTTACTACGCTGAGTTGAAGCCTTCACAACTTAAACCGAAGCTTCTTAACCTCTACCTTCAATTTAACATACCTTCTCATCCTCTCTTTCTTCGCGGAAAACCCGCGAAAAGCTAGCAGCTCTTCAAAGAGTTAATACCGACAACTGCTGAAATGGTTATTCATCCATTTAGTTTATATCTTTATAAATATTTCCTCTTCAAAACTTACTTTGTTTACAGCTGAGGGATGAAACACAGACAGGATACCAGGTCACTGCACATATAAATGGCGCTTCCAGCACTTATTATGCGTTTTGTGCTGTGTAACAGCAGTACAAAACGCATATTGTTACGGGGTTGTCTGTGTGTGTGTGTGTGTT